AACGGCTTCATTTGTCACAGGCCCCGGGGCTCTCCGTGTTGTATGAGGGGCCCTTACAGGGACTGCACGTCCCTTGTGAGCCCTGCAGAAGGACACTACATCCCCATTAACAGCTGTGGCCAGAACATACACGTAACAAGGTTATCTAAAAATAAAAGCTAATTAAACCAAAATCCTTTGGTCGTCAGGTCAAGGTACAGCATAAACAGGGTTGGTACAGGCTCCATGAAGCGTGCTGTAAAAGTGCGTGATCTTTGATCGGGGTGAGGCACCTCAGGAGAACGTCTCGTTGGACTGGGTGTCTGCTCGCTCTTTGGACTTCCTTTGAAGGGTGCAATTAGCAGCGATGGCCGTTTCGTGATGGGAGATAGCTTTTAGCAAACAATGTACCTGCTCTCTATTCACATCAGCACCTGAAGGTCAGCAGTTACTTAGTCCAAGCGCTGTGCCCCGAGTCCATTTCCTCGCTAACGCTTTTTTATTTCCATTTCAGTTACACTTTTAGGTGATTTCGTTATCTTGTGCGCTCCCCATATGGCAGGGATGTGCTGTCCTGTGAAGACTTCGCACAGCGAATTGAAACCGTGCTGAGTAGCATGGCCATGTTTGTTTAATCTGAAAGCTTTTTTGGGAAATGTCCAACACCAAACAGTGGCCAGATCCAGTGAATCGTTCCCCTTACTCGTGTTTGTTTTCTACAGCTAGCCCTAGGGACCATAACCCTCTGCACTGAGACAGACGACAACTGCAGGATGAACAATTTCCTTTAATGATTGCGTCAGGCCCCTCTGTAAGTTACTATTTTCTACAGAAACAACACGCACCAGCGAAGTAATAGGTATTACAGTACTATACTAATAGCATCTTGTGGTAGAGAAATGCGGGGAGGTAGGGGACATCAGACAGAGAAATGCTGACACTGGAGCATCAAACGCAAAGAAAGCCAAATGGAAAACTCAACACAGCTCTCGGATAACCGCAGATCTTGTATTGTTGTGGTTAAGGCCTTTAAGTACTATTGTAGTAACAAAAATTAGTAATTAATTAATAACGGCATGTATACTGCAGAAAGCAACCTTCTATTCTTCCAGAAAACTATTTACAAATAGACTACTTAAGTTATCAGCCACCTGCAGTTAGAAAAGCATGACTGTAGATTTTAATGATTCATTTCTAATGGTGATTAGCTCCATTAAAAAACATTTCTAGTGGTTTCTAATCTATATTTGAAAAATCTAACAAGCCAGTGAACATTTTAATTAAACTTTGTAATTAATATGAAAGTTGGAAGTGATATAGTTCCATGGAAAAGTACTAGACAGGGTGAGCAAAGACAGTGGTAGTTTAAAAAAAAAAACAAACCAACCCAACCCAACAAAAAACCAACAAACCAAAACCAAGAACAGAATGGAGTAGGAGACAAAATGGAGAGAACAGAATGGAGAGAAGGAAGGAACTTGTTAAATTATTTCAATGGCCTCTAAATTGTCCATGGAATAAAAAGTCATGGGTTTGCATAACACAGGACATGGAAGTCAGCCTCATAAAAGTCAGCTCATAAAATTCAGCCAATTAAATCTTTACTGTCTTAACTGTGATGTTTGTAGAACAAGGAAATAAATTGTATATTGCTTTATAGGTTTATGTTGAGTGGTTGAGGGGGGAAGATACAGTAATTGCTCTTGATGTGCTCTACTTACAAGAAAAACACCCACTCATCTGTGCAGGAGACAGAATATTTTTAGGGACAGTCTGAGAACACACAGAACTGTCCCAAGAACTTTAAACAATACTCAATCTTTTTGAAGCACAGAAAAGTATTTTGATTTCTCACATTATGTGAAAATCCTCCCCACTAATCTATATTAAAAGAAAAAAGAGCAGCTAACAAACCAAAACATTCTATTACCTTTGCTATTATGCTTCAGCACAGGATGAGAGAAGAAACAACCTGTGACTGAGGGCAGTCACACTGTTTAATGCACTACTGGAAGACACCACTGAAAAGTAGTTAAGTACAAAAATTACATAAAAATGACTTACACTTATTTCCCTAATGTTGACAGCTACTTCGGTCATAGTATTTACAGACCATACAAGTGATTTACTGAAGAACAAACTCATTTAATTCATGCATCAACTCAGAGCACAGCACTTTTTGTTTTGTTTGACACAGTCCAGTAAAAATATGGAAATACAGAATAACTTACAGAAAATATTTTAAGATATTTCGCTATTAAAATACTTAAAATTTGTATTCCTCAGAGCACTGGATTTTTGTGGTTATATGCTATCAAATCATCTTGTAACGTCATTCCTTAAAATGAAAGCTATCACTCTTAAACATAAACGCTGCTGAGTCATCCTTACTTGATAAACAAGTATTTACGCTGCAGCGGCACACAAGTATGGGATAAAATAACATTTTATCTTTTTTTTTCCTCAGCATCAATAAATCTGAAGAAAACATAAAACTTCTGAAGCCAAGCTACCTTAAAGTTCGGGAGACAGCTTTACTAACCTAAGTTTTGTCTTTGCTGCAGCAGAGTAACCTAAAACACTTCACTATTACTCACTTACGGGGACTTCCTCCAACTAGCAGTTGTTTCACTTTTGCTTTCTTCCTCACAGAAAGTAATATGCATTCTGAACATTTATCGTAAAAGAAACTGTGTAATATATTGTGAAACTGCCTGGAAGGGGACACATACAGCAACACCCACAAAAGACTGTTCTACCATTGGATACATATATTGCCTCATTAATTTACTGGGGGGTCTACCCACTACATTCTCTCCCTGGCCAACCCATAAGAAAACACACAGATGCTTAAAGAGAAACTGTCTCTTCATAGAGTCATTCCTAATTTTAACCTGTTATTTTCTCTTTGTTAAAGCAGATGTCCCTAATAGCATGTATCTAGAAATGTTTAAAAATATTAACAACTGCGCAGTGCATTTGAGCTTGCACATGAACCACCTTGCACAAAAAGGAGGCATTAACATTATGTAATTAGTTTTGGATAATGTAAGTTTCCTAATTCTAGTAACTTTTTCTAAATTTAAACACGAAAAATATTTAAATACAACAGAAATCATCTTATTTCCAATTCCCTTTAGCCATGCTTAATTCTTATGTTCCAATCCTGCAGTCTCAAGTATACCCTTAAATAACCTATTGGACTCCTCAGCGGGTTAAGGTGAGCGCATGTGTAAGTTTTAGTATTAGCAGTAGAACATCAGTTTTGACTAAAATTGTCACCACATCTAACGTAGAAAATGAATGCAAGTATACTTGATGATCACATATGTTGCCGTACAAAGACATCCTCTGGCTATGATGACTATTTGGTCTGTATACAGCACCGAAATACAGTATAGAGCAGACGAGGAATCCCAATTTAGAAGGACTTCTGGGTAATCTCCATTTATGGAATTTACATGGAATGTTGTAAAAATTTAAAATATGTTTTATTAAAAATATATAAAATTACAAAATTAATGCATTTTGAGAAAAACAAAAATTCTACAAAAAGTGTGAAGGCTTTTTCCATCTATAATTACCATCTGAATATTCAACATGTGACATCAAATGCCTACTGAAAATGAGTATTTGAGACAGATTTTTGGACTGTGTGGATGTTGTATGCCAACTTCTAAGGCAACATGAAACTCCTCATCCAGAGTCCAAAAAATGTAGGGAGACCCTAAAAACGTAGCAGAAGCATTTCCGCACACTGATTTCGGTAGTCAAGTTTGTGCAGAAGTGATTCCACTAGATTCATAGGGTACCTTTTTGAGGCAACAGAAACTTGTCACTTCGTAAGCTTTCTGACATTTTCCAGCTCTTCTACAGGTTTCCATTTCTGATTGATTGTTAATAGCTGGAAGAAATTCAAAGGAAATGTGAAAGAAATTAGCAAAATCCCAGTGAGCATTTACTCCACCCCCACCCCTCCCCATATCATACATCAGCTTATTGGTGAAGAAGCATTTCTAGTAGCTTTACATTTTCCTTTCAGAAGTAAGCAAGAATAGCAATTGATGACACATTTAATAATTTGTTGAACAAAATCACTTGGATATTAAATAATAATGCCAAATAATTTTATTTTTCCTTATCCTAGATGCTCTACTAAACTAAGATTTTTTTTTTCCTTCAGGCTGCAGTACTCAAACATTCTTAGTCAATTTTGTAATTCAGGAACAAGGCAAGGGTAAACAGCATTTCCTCTATATTCCAAATTTCCACTGTTATCGATGGAATTGAGTAAATGGATGTTGGGTGGGGGAAAAACACCAACCAGAAGTACGCCATAAATTCAGGATCAGACCTAGAACGTAATAGCTGAATCCCTGTCATTAAGTAATACAGGGAAGATACTTTACGTAAAGTAATGAATTAAGCAGTTAATTCCACTTTTAAATAGATATATGTCAGCTTTACATTTGTTTCCTCATTAATATTTTGCTAGTTCTCACACATTTAAATGAAGTTATTCATCGTGTTGGAAATATATGCTATTTGTACTATTATTTGTACAAATTACCTTCTGAGGCTTGGTAGGATCGACAGTTTCCCACGGTTCTGGATTGCCACTCTTGTTAATGCTTTTAGAGAAGATAAAGCAAAACAGGTACTATGTTTTAGGGTGTGATCTTGCTCACATTTTTCTTATATGAGCAGTCTATTGTCAGTAGAACTATTCATCTAAGTAAGTAGTTCCCCAAAACACAAGTTTACAGGTTTGGGCATTTCTGTTTTAAATTCTGGGTAGAAATCAATGATGGCTTGCTTTATTTGCAGCTTCCAAAGCACCAAACAAGCCAACATTGTTCAAGTATAACGTGTTATCATAAGGGAAGCAAGCTGAAAAAAATCAAAACTGAATGAAGACACAAAGAAAAAGTAAGGGGATTCTTACCCTGACAGCTAAAATGCCCATTCCAATCACTTTAAAGTAAATATAAAAATTCCCAAAAGCTTAAAGAGTACAGGACTTAGCTCCAATTATTAGACAAGCCATTAAAATATTAACTTCTTGTAAGTTCACATTTGATAATGTGACTCGTATATAACTTGACTTGTATATAAAGTCAATAGCCTGGTTGCAACATATCTGCATGTCGTCTACCTATCTGATTATTTGAAATTCTTCATAAGAACACCTAAAACCTATTACACCTAAAGCAAAGAAAAAATGTAATCTGTTAAATCAAAAGTTAGGAAATAATTTGGACTACACTCCAAATTAATTAATTTCTTCAGTATTTACAATCTGCAGATATCTTAGTTACTACTAGTAGTCTGGAACATCGACATGGATTTTTTTTTTCCCCCCCTTTGGTGCAAAACACGGTAGTCAAATACCTCTGTTGAACAAAGAAGGTTAGGGTAAACTCCAAGCAATAAGTATTTTGCTTACATCACATCGGATTTGCTGAATAGGGAATAGACAGAAAAAGAGAGCGCCCCAACTGCTGCAAAGGACACTACTCCAACCAGGGGAATGAGCTGAAAGACATAAAAATGGAGAAAAGAGTTTAAGACCTAGTGTCCTGGCTACAGAGCCATGGATGGGGGAGTGAGAGTTACAAGGAATTAAGGCGTGATTACCTGTTAAGGTGCATTACCTCTGTATTACTACTCACACCACCTCACTTTCAATGCATGAATTTCAACTTACACGCATCCCTTGCTATTGCGATATCCTCTATAAGGTGCTCATTATTAAATGGCAACCCCTGTGCACCTGCTCGAGCCAGCCGGCATCCCCTCGCCGAAGGGGGTTATCGCAGAACCAACGTCCCTGGCAAACTTACTTCTTTTTTTGCTTTTAGTATCTGGAAGAAGCTCGTGCTCATCCTCGCTGCGGCTGCGGACCTGGAACAAACGGCTCCCTGTTACCGCGCCCCGGGCCGGGACCTCCCCGGCTGCGGGACCCCCCCACCCCCAGGCTGAGAAAGCTCGGCCCCGGGAGAGAGGGCACGACGCCTCCGTTACCTGGCAGGGCGGAGGAGGACCGGCAGCGCTGCCGCAGGGGACCAGCG